TGCTAGCAGACAATGGGAATAAAGAAGAAAGGCCCAAGTCTCCACACTATTAAGCAGTAAGTTCATTGCTTCTTCAACCCAACAAGTGTGAGAACACGCAAGCTTCAGGTTTACTGTTAGAGACATCAGAAGCAGATCTTGGTTCCAAGAATTAAAGTGGAAACGTTGGAGCTATGGCTTTGGCAGGAGTGGCCAGCAAGAAGCGAAGAGTTGGTTTTCTAAGGAGGCTGTTCTTGAGAAGGAAGAAAGTTTACATCAAGAAAACTTGACACCAAACTACTGAAGAGTGACCGGGAAACAGCGAAGAAGGCTGGGACAAAACTCCCCGGTAATAGGGAGGGAACTGCAGACACGTCACTTAAGGCAACTACAACAGTAGTTTTCAACTTGTCATAGTGTGACAATTGATCTTTTGTTTGATTTTATCTAAATTAAACAGGAATGAAGGAAAACAAGCTATCTTTCTCAAAGCAAACCTATCAGAGTCTGCATTGATGATTTCCCAATCTCTCTCTATATAACACTTGCTTATCAAATGAATAAATAAACGTATTCCTCTCTATCTGAATAAAGTCATTCAAAATTTGGCTACTTGTCAACCATTGGTTTCTTTTTACTCGAGCTCGAACCTAATCTCTATACAAGATAAAATTTGCAATTTCATTGAGACCAGCCTCTTTGTAACACTCCGCGACTCGTTCCAGATAGTCTCCCCAGGTTCCATCAATGGAAGCTAAATCCAACAGAAAAGCAGCCTCATCTAATGCAACCTGCGGAGGGGGTTCAGAATTAACTAAAGTTACTGTCAAAATGTTGTACAAAATTATTGTTACCACAATGTTACCTGGGCAGGAGCCTTCCCCTTCTTCAAGTCTTCTTGTCTACCTTCTTCCGTCACCTTCTCTTTGATGTACTCAATTTGCTCATCTTCCCATTGTGCGATACCAGCAACCTCCTGAATCACAACACATCCATGGAAGAGAATGTCAAAAGAAGGGTAACAGAGATCAAGTCTCAAATGAAGATGTCGATGATCAAGAAAAGTTCCTTGCCCGATATGTGCAGCCTAAAGTCCACCATGGTGATTTCAAAGCTACCCTTGCAGAATCTTTTGCTTCCGAGGTACGCCCTACTCTACATAGAAGTATTTACAACATCCTCTTTAGAAATTAGAACCAGTGAAGCACCTTGAATTAATATTAAACAATGAATCATAAAATCTTTCTACTAACTTAAGCAAAATCTCTGCATTGAATACAAAAGGCCTTCCAAATCCGGGAAAGAGATCCTTCTTTGTATAAAACTCCCCTGTCACCAAAGCAGAAACCTTCCAACACCATAGATTTTAAAAAGAAAAGAAAAAAATGTTTAGCACAACCAAAAAACTAAAATATGATATTAGGGAATGGAACCTAACAATTCTTACTTGATCCCCTTCCTCAAAATGTCGCAAAACCTTACGCTCTAACAAATCTGGAAATAGTCCAACCTGATTGCAGAACAATAATTTGACACCATTAACAATCCTACTGTGAACACTGAACTTTGAGAATTGGTTTTTTGTCTTTGGACTATTTTATTATCTGTCTAATGTACCTTTTTAAAGAGATAAACATCCAGATTTGATATTTTTGATTCAGCAAAATCACCCCTAGTATAGAGTTTCTTGCCAGCCTCAGATGAAGCATGAAACAATTCACCGTTACTTCCATGTGATTCGGCATCTTCTTCAACTAGGATTCGATGGATATATTGGTCGACCTGGGTTACAAAAGCTGGAAATAGTGAACTACTTTTTCCATGTATAAATTTTGAGAAAAGCACTGCTGTATTGTTCAGTTCCAACGAGGAGTGGTGCATTCAGTATCAATTATAATACCCCATTCAATTCTAATGCATGCTTTCAGCTTAATGTATTACATTGTTGGCTAAAAGCCACACCCCATGCTTGCGAACTTCCACAACTGGCATCTCCATTCTGTGTGAATATATACAGTTGCATGAAGATAAACCAAGGCAATCATATCTTAGCCAATATATATACAGATGTGTTTAATACAAATATTGAAATAGAAAAAGAATAACAATTCAAGTCTCTTACCCAGGTGGAGCCGTTGGCCACCGCAGCAAAGCAGTCATATAACCTATTCTCAAGGAATAGCAGTTATATATATATATGTGCTAAATCCATTCCCACATTGGAAATACTAGTAGTTCACAAATAGTCTACGTAAAAGTCTGCAAAATCTTATCTAACCTGACAGATTTTCTGATAGAGGAATGGCAAGGGGCATTAACTCATGCTTGATCCCGGAGAAACTATGGTTTCACCTGTTTAAGAAGCAAATGAAAGATGGGATTTCAAGTGGCATACATGTGGAAGTAAGAAGAAGCTGTCTATTTTTTGAAATGTATGTTCCATCTCCTTGTAACTGAATTCAGAGATGCAATGATAGGCAAAAACAAGATCAAACCCATTGATAAATTTTAAGAGAAGAAACCAAAGATATCATCACCAAGCATTGTCTTAACAGGTTACAATGAAATAAACATTTTATAGAAATGTGAAGAGTTCAGGATCAAAATGAAAGACAATGCAATAAACGATCAGCTCATTAGGATGAACATGATCAGATTATCAATCTGCAAGAGATGCATATGTTCAATAGGCTTTGCCTATCTTCATACTAGAAGCATTTGACAAGAAATATTTATGACTTCACATGTATCGATGAAGCATCAGCCAAGACAAAAATGTCAAGATTAATCACAGATTTATGACTTCAACCAGTATGAGTAAATGTTCTCTGTGAAAAAATCACAAATAAAAGGCCCAAGGACCATAAACTTTGGTTACAAGCCAAATCATTGTGAACAACACCAATATTATCCTAGAATGTACCATGTAATCAATGAAGTAATGGTTTAACCTTTAGCAATAACACGAAAATCATGTGAACTACATAAGAAATTCTTGAGTCAGTAGATTAACTGCTGCATACCTCTGGTCTGGAGCATTTTAAGCAAGTGGTGAAGATTCTCAGGTGGTAGAGTGGCAGCTACATCTTTAACGAATGATATATGTCCTGCATTTGGTTAACTAAACCCTTTTAAGTCGTCAAGCTCAACTTAACCAAGAACAATTTGAAAGCAAAAGAAAAGTGAACCACTTGCTAAATCCAGGTTCACAACTACAAATTGGGTTCTGACGCTTTGCCAGCATTTGACATCCATTTTACCCAAACCCCAATTCATTTCAAAATACCCAAGGATCCTACTGATTTGGGATTAAAAGATTCAGACTAAACTATATCCAATAAAGAGAAGTCTTAAAACTAAACTCAAGCAAAGAGATTCTCAAAATAAACAGCTAATCCAGAAAATAGTCATTGCAATAAAGTGAAATGAACCCATTTTCTAAACAAACAACCTGACTTAACAACATCGAATAGCTTTAGCATTATCATGTCAAAGTAGCTAAAATCAAAGTTGAAATGGAAGGAGAATAAAAAGAAAAGAAAAGCCAATGTACAAATGATGGAAGGTATGATTTTACCAGAGGAAGAAGAACAAATAACCCTGGCTCTAACACGGCGGAGAGGGAATAAGGTGGCACAAGGAGTTGAGTGCACCATTCCCAGCAGCCCCGCCTTCATGTTGATGTTTCTATTTGTGGACTGCGAAAGTGTAGCCTTCTCAAACTACACGGTTTAGTTCTGTTTGTAGAGAATGAGATAAGACCCCAACCAAACCAAATTAAACGTGACATAACCACGACCATATATATATACTTTGTCATAGTTTTGCTTGCTCAACAAAAAATAACTGTTTAACATAATTATAATGTTTGATGATAGTAATTTTATTTTTGATTATATTTTATTTTATAATTCTAAACTTATTAATAAAGTATTTCATATATTTTTAGATGGTTTTAGATTAAAAAAATTAAATATAATAATTTCAATATTTTTAATAAAAAATAGTGATATAATTTATTTTAAATATAATTTATTTTGCAATAAAATCGACTTAATATCTTCAATGTCTTTTTTTAAAAATTGTAAAGAGATATAGATCTTGAAATTAAGAATAAGAGTTCAACGAATTCGTTATAATTTTGGTCATTAACATCTTTGTCACAACTTGAATATTACCTTAACTAATGAAAAAGAGCTGCTAATGATCTTTGGATGTTTGACCAATTGTGCAACCTGTACATTCAATTTAAATTTATAGATATTCCAAATCATACATTTTATATAAACTCTAAACACTCATTTTCGATTTAAAGTTTAAGATTTATCATAAGAAAGTAATGAAATAAAGAAGGAACTCATGACATTTAGCAGAGGAACTTGAAGTTTGTAGATAGGCTTAGGATGAATGACACATTCGGTTGAAAGACTCAAAGAGAATCAAAAGCATTCCAATGTTCAGAAAATTATAGTTTTTTTTTTTTTTACTTTTGTTATATAATATTTTTATTATTATTATTTTCATAATTGGATAAAACGTATGGGTATAGCAATGGCTTTAGTAGAAATGGGATCTAAATTTTGTTTCAATGAGTTCTTTTTCCCGTTTATTTATTGGTCTAACAGTTCACACCATTCATATGTAATCACAATAAGTGATATATAAGATATCAAATAATTGAGGAATCGAATTAATAATAAAAATTCTTAAAATACCACATTGTTAGATGAAAAATAATTGTATGGTCAAAATAATAAAACAATTCTTGAGGGGGCATATTATTAGGCAAAATACAATTGAGTGGTAAAATCTTTATTTAACTTTGATAATTATAGAATCCGTCAAGTGATTTTTGTGGAAGATAAAATATAAATTTTAGAAGTCTTGAATTTGAGTAACTAATATGTATGGTGTATATATGTTATCTATTAATAAAAAAATTAAATAAATATTATCTTATAATAAATTTAAACTATTTAAAAAAAATATATGATGATTATAATTGTATTATATTACTCACCCAACGCCTGACATTTACCACCCTACACGTGCTCCATAAAGCACCAATATCTAGGCAAATGACCAACAACCAAATATACACACAAAACATAAAAAACACACAATAAACAAACCAAAAACCCTTTTACTTTACTTTTCCTTTTCACTGGAATTTTGATGTCATAATGTACAGAAATTTCTTGATGAATTTTTATTGTACAGGAATTAATTAAAGTGTATGTTCTTGTTCAATTTTCTGTTTTTGTCTATGCTTCATTGCTCCCTAGTACAGCCTCCTTCATTTCAAGTAGGGCATCTTCAAAGCATTTAGCTAGAAACTCTGGGTCAGGGATGATATCTTTTGCTACCAAAATTTGCATTTCGGCCTTGCCAGCATAGCTCAACATGTGCATTGTTATCGCCTGCATTCACAATAACCAAAAATATAAATAAATTTATTTGAAATAAATCATCGATAAATATATATATATATATATATATATATTGTTAATAGACTTTAGTATGGTATTAGGTGATTCACTCTCTCTGGGCTATAGGAAAGGCACAGTCGATGGTAATTTAGGGAAGACGATGAACAGTGGATATGGGATTGATTCGATTGAATATCCTCTCCTTTAATTTTACTTGTGCATGTATATATATCCCTATCACCAGACAGTAAGGTGACTGCTATTAATCCTAGGTTGATAGGTGGATGGTATCATTCCTACGGTTGATAACACCATGTAATAGGGTGGTTGGTGTCAATCCTAGGGTTGGTGACATGGTTTTCATAATCGGACCGGTTAATAAATCGGTTATGTTATCGGTTCACTGGTTCAACCGGTCGAATCGATCTGATCAGTCGGAATAATCGGACGTCATAATTATTTAAAAGATTAAATAAAAATACCAAAAATATTTAATAAAAAATAATTTTTTATATTACAATTTATATTCAAAGCAAGTCATAACATATATAAGTTAAAAACCATAAAATTAAGTGAAACAAAATAATTCAAATTAACTATAACATAATATTTAAGGTAAAACATATTAAATAATAAATATAATTATATAACTATAATTAAAAAATAAATTTGGGGCTAAAAATCATAACAAAATGATATTGTTTGGTTTAATTTTTTTTTAAAAACAATCTCACATGGCTAAGAAACATAAAAGATCATCCTAACTAATTTCTATAAATAATAGAGGTAATTTGTCATTCAAAATCATGGAGCCTTTTGGTGAGCATTGAGTAAACTATTCTTTCACTTCAATCAAGCTCGAATTTTAGGCTTCAATCGAGATTCTAAATTTTTTTAGTTCAAGCCTTTTCGAGTTCAAGTTTCAATATTATATTTCGAGTTCGAGTTAAACTTCATAATTTTTAGCTTGTGAGTTTGAATCGAGATGAGCTTACTTTTAAATTTTTCAAGTTCGAGTCGAGCTCAGCAATACTCGAGTTCGACTTGGCTCGTTTAACAAACGACGTCGTTTGGTTTAATTTTTTTTAAAACAAAATTGGTAGTTTTTTTCGGTTTTTAGCCGGTCCGGTTTGAACGGTTCAGCGGTTCTGGCCGGTTCACTAGTAGCAGTTCAACCAGACTAGATAACGGTTCCCGGTTGAACCGACCGATCCGGTCCGATTTTCAAAACAATAGTTGATGATTATTGATGTGTTGACAGATGGATAGATCCGACTATCAAATAGTAGATTTCTCGTGATAAGATTGACATCTATCATATTTAGGGTTGATAATACCATGTAACAGGGTGGTTGGTGATTATTGATGAGTTGATAGATGGATAGATCTGTCTATCAAATAGTAGATTTATTCGGTGGTAAGATTGACATCAATCATATTAAGGGACTATAACTAAGTAAATGAAATGGCGGGTTATTTTCAGTGAAATCCAGAGATATTATATAGAAAACTCTAGAAATCTCGAGTCCTTTATGCGAAAAAAAATAACGATAAAGATATATGAAAGAGTGATAAAAGTGATAAGGGAGACATAATTTCGGAGAAGGTACAACTGTATTTAAAATATGGTTGTTGTTAGAGACTCATTCCTCCATAATATTCGTGAGACGTGCATATTTCAAGAAATTAAAGAATGAGAGTAACGTCGCATGTATTTTACCTGTGGAAGGCTGGATGTGCTGACTTTAATGCTGGAGATTGGGTTGCCTGCAAGGCAAATTTCCTCTAGAGGGCCAACAACGTTTGAGATGGTGAAAGTTGTGTTGCAGAGGAGTTTGTAGTTAAGCATACAAGCATACTGCAACATCCAAAAAAAAAATAACTTGATTCAGAAAATATATAAATTTATATTTAATGCACTGATATTGTGTAATTTTATACCTTTGGTCCTAACAACGACATCACAAGATCCCCGATCCAGTACGAGAAATAAGCCTCAAGAGAGTGTTTCTTCCTGTCGACCGTCGCCTTTGCTCTCTTCAAATACTCTAAAGGATCATTGCGACTTTTGTGATAATAAACTGGAAGTAGAATGACACCAAATTTGTTGCCCCATCGTGCGTCTGATTTGTTCTTCATTAACTTTGATAGGTCCTGCAACCCTGGTTGTGCTCTTATGTTAACCATGGCTACCCCTGTAATACGAAGGCCCTCATGCAAGGCTAACAAAAAAGAGCACCGATGAGACCGGACGGTTGCCGTTAAAGCCGATATTCGTCGACGAGAGGGAAAAGAAGGTTACCGTTTGGTGTTCGATGGTCTAAGTATCTTGAGAGCCCGTATGAAACCACTCCAAAGAGGACATCATTAATGGTCTGCAGCATAGTTGTAAAAGATGGGTGAAGGGGTAGATTATTAGGTAAATCAAAAACAAAAAGTAATTGCTTATACGATTATTGAACCTCGAGATTTGATTTTAAAACATCCATCTTAAATGCTGTTAACTGAGAGTTTAAAATTTAGATGAAGCATTCACATTAAATGTCAAACTAGATGTAAAGTTATTAAAATTATTTACTAGTTTATGTGTTTTAAAAAAGTGATTTCGACAATTCCAAATTAACATTCAATGCAAAAGCTCATGGCCGGGATGATTTGAGTGGAGCCACACTTTAGGTTGAAATCCAATTGGAACTTTTGGTATTTGGGGACTAGTTTAGAATTTAGTCTATAGTTTTAGGATGTCTTTTGCAAGTAATAAAAAGAAGAAAGTAGATACTCCTATATATTTTACTACTTGAACTTGGTTTCAATGTTCGCTTTGATATTTAAGATTTTCTTTTTCATTTAGGTTCTTAAATTTGACTAAGTTTAATTTGATATTTAAGCTTTATTTTGGTGTAATTAAGTACATGAACATGGCTTCTTGGTTTAAATTAACACTTGAATTTAATGTTTGTTCAAATCGGCTCTTATTATTTTTAACCAATTTGAATTGATGAGTTAAATTCAAGTATTAAATTGAAGAAAAAAAATCAAGTTTAAATATGTAATTGGACCCAAAAAAATTAAGAATCAAATTGAATCTTGAAGTCAAGTTTAGGTGCCTAATAGGATAAAAATATAAAGTACTAGATTGAACCTTAAAACTAAGTTTAGGTACCAAAATGTATATTAACCCAAAAAATTTCTGTGAGCAAATGACAAAGTCTTCCCCAATTTCCCAGGAAAAATAACAGATTGAGGCAAACTATCCATCCAACTGCCATAAGTGCAAAAGGTCCAAAAACATTCCAAAAATGAAGGTAATTATGACAACCCAATTCAAACAATTCCAGGTTTAGGGTAAAAGAAATAATATTTTGTTGTCACTTACAATGTGGGGAATAGCCCTTTTGACCACCTTCATGTCGTCAAGCAAAAATTTTGCAGTCACCAGTTTCCTAGGCCAGAGTTCCACCCCATCACCGCCGGTAACCACCGTTTTGTCGTCGGAAATCAAGAAACTCCTAAGCACAAACTCCATTGAAAACGCCAAAGTGTGAAGAACCATATTCAAGAACCACCACAAGGCACCAAACAACCAAAACCAATCCCTTCCTTTCCCGCCCTTAATTGCCGGTCTCTTGTCGGGAATCATCCTAGGAAGCGCATCAGCATCGTCCTTCCGCCGACAACTGGCCATCAACATGGACATCAAAGAGATCCCATCGCCTAGAGCATGATGAATCCTGAAGACGGCACAGTTGTGCGCCGTCAATAGATGTAATTCCCACAAGGGTTTGTCCATACTCAAAGGACAACTGACTGATAAATCGGCTACGTACTGGTTCACCGCCGCTTCATCGTCTTCTTCGGTGGTGGAACCTTCGGGTTCGTCTTCGTCAACGAAATTACCCGATCTATCGAGCCGTTTATGGATGACGATTACGTGCCGGTCAATGTCTATATGGGTTCTTCTCCAGTGCTCGAATCCGTTCTTGTCACGAACTAAAAGGCTGCAAAATCTGGGGAGTTGGACCATCAAGGAAGACTTAATACTCGATTTTGTAGCATCTACGTCAACAGGGTTTTGGCCGCGGAGGATACAGTGGATGACGACGTTTGTTTGCGGCTGGAGAAAAAGGCGGCCGGCTGGAGTTAATGGTTCGTCGGAGGTAGTTGCCGAGCAAACCATGATGAGAGAAAAAGATAAATTAGATTTCCAAAAAGTCGAAGAAACTTTAGCGGTGTCCTTGATATATATATTTATGGTGCCTTTATGACTGTTTCTGTAAGACAAGAAATAAAAAAACGAAGTAATAAAAGACAGACCAAAACTGTATAGGTAGCAGGTAGAATGTCCCAAGTATTACACGACGTGTGGTTTATACGGTGACAATTTGTTCAAGGAAACTGTCAACTGATCGAACCAATCCCTGCCACTTGATTTTCTTTTCTTGGATAATTTTGTCAGTCGATTTATGATTACGTATATAGTTAATTTTCATTCTATTATATTTAGGCCTAATGTAAAAAAATTGTTTAAACTGTACTTTTCTTATTTACCTGCTTAAATTTTTTGGGTCAATGTAACAGTTTAATATTTTTAAAATTATTATTTTAAATATCTGATATATCATGATTGTTAGAAAAATCTCATCAATAGCTTAAAATATGGCATTTACATATTTATAAATTTTTAAAAATTTTATTTAAAAAATTTAAAATCATTATTACTTTTTTTTAAATCTACAACTTTTTTTAAAAAAATAAAAAGTCTCAAAATTCTTAATCTCAAAGCATCAACCCTACTCGTCAATCGTCCCCGTCACGGTCGCCCTCTAAATCCCTAAAATCCCTAAACTCCAATATTTAAATCTAAACTCAAAATCCTTAAATCTCAATACCCAATTCTCTAAATCTGAATAAGATTGGGATTGGTGGAGGTTGCGAATGGTAGTCGACGGGTGGGTGGGTGAGTGATCGCCGACGATAATGATGGTCAGTGATTAGATTTTAGGGATATTTTTTATTTTTATAAAATTTGAGGTATTTTTTGAAAAATGTTAATGGTTTTTTTTTAATTTATGAATTTTATTTATTTTAATTAAGTCAAATATTAATTGGTTTACTTATTTTTAATTAACTTTTTTAACGGTCGTGACAGATCAAATACTTAAAAGGATAACGTCGAAAATATTAAATACATACATTAATAATAAAAAAAGTTTAAGCGTCTAAACAAAAAAAGAGATATAATTTAAATATTTTTTATATTAAACATTATATTTGTTAGGTTAGTTTTAACTATTTATATACTTATAACTTTTATATTGTGCATTTTAATTGTAATCGTATCCACTTAAAATAATTTTAATGTTGAACTAAATTTTAATGTGGCCAAGATCAAGGTTTACTTTCAAGGATTTATACATCGCACAAAATTTGTCTGTAAATTATTATAATGCTTTGAGTAGTCTCTTGTTTTTCTTTTAGGTTTTAGATTGGAGTAGTTGCATCTATAGAATGTATACATTATCAGAAATTAAAAAAATTATAAATAGATATTGTTTTATAACCACATCAAACTATTAAAAAATATTATAATACTTCAATTATAAATTTTTGGTCATTAATTAGGTTACACATAAGCAATTATATTCTGGTAATTTGGGAGACTTAATTTTTGGGAAATTATAGTTTTGGTCCTATATTATTGTTAAATTTACAAATTTATCCTTATACATTAATTTAGTATAATTTGATAATTTATTTTTGGATATTATTGATGGAAATAAATTAGCCTCATCACTTGTTGATGGTTCATCATTTATGATTTAGATGGAGGATAGAATAGACCTTAGATAGTGTTTTTTACGCGAGAGGGAATGAGATAATAATCAAACTGAGAGCTACAAATGAAGAAATTCAATATTTGACGATCATATATGCTTAACTTGGCAACATACAGATAGTGGGTCATGTGAGCCTATGAGAGGTTTTGTTTATACACTATAACTGATTCGACGACATCTGTTCGAAGAATACGGTTTTCCTTGAAAACTCTAATAGATAAAACTATCTATTCGAAAGTGTTTGGAGGGGCGATGAACTAATTGTTTTTAAATATATTTTTAAAATATAACAAAAAATAATATTAAAATTTATAAGAGACAAAATAAAATATATAATATTTTCATTAAAAAGATTTGTTAAATAAAAAAACAAAATTTTAGATCTACAAAAAAAACATAAGAAGGTAAAATTATTTATAATCGAATTATCTGTTAATAATGACTAAATCAATATAGACAATGAGTGATAATGGGAGAATAAAATAAATAATGGGTCAAACAAAGAAAAAGAAAGAAAAGTAGATGAAGGAAGAAGGTTGAGTTGGGCCCCTCCTCACCAAACAAATGGGTAAAACAAATTGACCGCTATAGTTGCTTGCAGCAACAGGGGATTGAAAGGCCATCCTTTGCCTTGCGAAATGTGGAAAGTGGACAATAATTCTCGGCCAGATGTAGACACCAAGAGATTCGACTCCGCACATGCCGATGCCGTAACCACATTTAAGTCTATTGGTTCAAACAACAGCACATTGTGATTTGAAAATGACAATTATGGAAAGTCTGCTTCAATTAATACCCTAATCAAGGGCCAGTTTTCTCAAATCAAAATCTATCCTTTTAAACTAGATTTTGTGTTTATTGTTGTTGTACCGTTGGGGAGAGTCTTTAAAAATATTTTTATTTTAGCATAATCTTCTATTAGTTTACGTCTTCAATAAAATACAGATCTCTAACCAATTATAACATATAGACATGACTTTTGATAAATAAGTTCTATGATAAGCACACTTGATGAGTCGGTATGAAATTCAATATCTGACTACCATATTTGTTTAATTCGATCAACCTATACATAGTCATCATAACCTTTCGATTGACACCTACTAAAAATCATTATAAATATCCCTCTAATCAACTGAAGAGGGAATCAACACCTTTAACAACGACCCTCCTTCTTCCTTATGAGATTTTTTTTTTTCTTCCTTCTTCAAATATCAACTTACGATCGTCGTTCTCTCACCAATCACAACTCTCTATCCAAATCAGAAGGGATAAATCGTTCACAACCGACAAGTCAAGTTTATTTCGGCAACAATTATTTTGACACATATTTTCAGTGAATCACATGTAAATTGGATTAGTAATAATAGAATTTCTAAATTTAACAAAGAAAATATCAATACTATTAATGGTTAGGTTGATTTTTTTTGTAACTAAACAAATATAAATTAAAATATATAGATTATATCTTAATTCTTATTGAAATATAAGGAGGGACAGCATATTTTATCATTTTAAAACGCGACAAATGTTATTATAGTGTATTACGCGTGAAATGAATGGACGTTTTTTTCTCTCTTTATATTATCCTAGGTTTTCAATATTTCTGTTTTCCTCACAGTTTCCTCCAACGAATCTTCTGGTGGGTTATAATTTATATAACAAATTTTGGGGATTTTTAAATGGTAATTGATTCACGTGGTTCTGAATAGATGAATGGAGAATAAAATGTTAAATATTCTTTTGTTTTCGATAGAAAAAATGTTAAATATTCTAAAATACAAGATAAGGGTCCATAATATACTTCTGCATAATATTATCTTAATAAACTAAAGATTAGGGTCTCGTATAACATTATCTTCTAGAGAATTCATAATAGTTTACTATAATACCCTCTACCCTCAAGTTATAAAAAAAAATCATATTTTTAAATTTTAATTTCAACTTTTTCTTCTTTACTATCTCATTTCTGAATAATCTAAAAAGAACCTTTAGTCCCGTGAATAAGGGAATTTTGTTATCCTTTATCTCTGGGTGACACTGATTCGTGTACTATGTATGCGTGCGCGAGAAAAATCTGGGTTTTCTAAAAAAAATTACTCTAAAAATTTTAAATTTAAATAATACCATCAGCAATCGCATCGGCCATATTTATTGATAGGTGTTTTAGATTCAATGTTTGTTTCACCGAAAAATATTATAACGTCCCCAATTTTAGACTTAAACTATTTGTGTCATTTATTATTGATCTCCTTCTTCCATTGTTAAACCGAACTAGAATATAACTATATTGTTTTTCTCAACAAAAACAATCTCTTCACCTATGAAACTATAAAAAAAATCCCTTAATCGTTGGAAACCGCCATAGAAAGATAAATACCTTTTTTTATCCCCATTTTTTTGAGTTATTGTTTATTCCAACTCCTTTTTCGGGTTTTTTACATGTCTTTTTATTTATTTCTTATGTGGAATTTTACTTTTAATTTAAAATCTCATAGGTGGATGTCTGATCGAATAAAATAAGAGTGAATTTTCACCTTTAGAGTTTAGGATAAATAGAAACCCCCTCTAAAATCAAATTAATCAATGTATTAAGTATCGAATTTTCGATACTTCAAGCCAAAAAATCAAATCTTACCCAAACCATCTCTATCCCTGGTTATAACTTCAGCTTCATCCAATTTTATGTTGTGTTTTGTGTAATATTTTCCCTTTTTTATTGTTTCGTCGTTATGGTAATTCCCCCCAAACCAAACCTAATATGTTTATGTTATCCCAAAAAATAGGATTTTTATTATTTCGAATTTATTTTATGAAACACTTAAATAATTTATTTATTTTTATTGTCTTCTTGATTCCCAAGGTTTCATCTTGATTAATTCGACCGATTCGAATTGTACACCTGACTTTAGTAGGTGAATATCTCAGTAGAGATTTTCTACATATACAAAAACTCGAACTCGAGATCTGCTTAAATGATATCAAACCGATTATCACTTGACCAATCTCGTTAGTAATTTAAATAATTTATTAGCATATGCTTGTTTTATATAAATTTTTAAAAAAAATTATTTTAATTTTAGTACTTATATTTTATCTTTTAAATATGTTAACAAATTTATTTTATATAAATTTCATTTAATCTCTCTCATGGTCATTTGATTTTCTTATTCATCATCATCGTTGCATTACATCTAAACATATATTTCACCATCAATTTTAAGCTTACTACTATAATATTTAATGGTACTATTACATATTCTTTTTTTTTACCGTTCTTACTTAGAGGGGGCTAAAAATTTGACTGCCAATAAATATTAAATCAACAACTTAAAAACAAATTGTCAACAGAAAACTTAAACTAAATTCATCGTCAATCAAAATAGAAATTTGGACTTCAAAGCCTGGCTTCGT